TCTGAGAACGGGCTTTTTGTTCATTCACTTTCCTGCTTTAACATGCAATTTTGATTTGATTTTTATGCAATATTTTATAAGATTCTTAATGTAATTTCTGTGTTGAAAACATTGATTGGTAATCTCAGAGTGAAGATATCATTCATTTTAGAAGAACACACAATTTTGCACAAGCAAACGATAAAAAAATCTACAAAATTTTGATTATTCTGAAAACAACACAACCCTTCAAAGAGAGAACAGAAATCAAACAGATATTTTTATTTGAATTATCTAAAATATCGATATTAATTTAAGAGGAGACAAATAACAAAACCTACGTTGTTATTTGGAAAACATTTCAGTATTTTATTTAATATACTTCCCTGTTTTCTTCGTTGCGTGTTTGCTGTTTAAGTATTTTTTGAAAACAGGGTATTGTTTAATTAATACTTAATTTATTTGTTTTTTATTGCATCTGTTAAATCGTTATTTGGTTGATAATGGCAGAATGTCGGATTTAAATAAATATGTAATTCGTACTTTAGTGTCTTTTTAGTCGCCTGGAGCGCAAAATTTTGTAGGCGCAAGTTGAAGATTCAGAGCTAAAACTTTATAATTTTTTTTAATAATCATCAGCCAATCACAGATAAATAGATAAATAGATATTTATCGGTAATAATGCACACAGTAACAAAAGTAACAAAAAAATATCAACATAAATCAAATTTACATAATATGTATTAATACACATTTTTGGAACAAAAAGGAAAACATTAATTAAGACAGTCACAACTTAAAATGGTAGATAAACCAATGTACAATGCACTCTAATTAAAAATTACTAAACGATTAATCAAAGAGACACAGAACATTGAAAACAAATAATTGAAGTATTGAAAAAACTTGCAATCGTCATTAAGGTATTTATCAAAAATTCAACTTTATATTTATTCAAATTTTATATATGAATTGATTGATTCATAAATCGTAATTTCCGATATTTCAGTCTATGTTTATCAATTTTCATTGTTAAATCGGATTTTTAACTACACTGCAAATTAGCGAATTCATATTTTTTCAATCGGTAATACTTATAATAATAATATTTGCATATTTTCTAAATTGAGTCATAGCTCTATTCTGTGTCAAAATTTAAGTTAAATTACAGACAAATTGTACAGAATGTACAATATTGTACAGGGCGTTAAACATTGAAATTATTCAGAAGATATGAGGCTTTGACAGGAAGAAGCGTGTACTTTTTCTGTCTGAGCTACCCTATATTTCCCGTAGATAGATTTACTCTTTGACCAAGAACACAAGACATTATTTAAATATCCTGTACAATATTGTACAAATGTAATATTTTTTTTGAATATTTTTCAATTGAGAATTTGCAAAGAACAGAGCTATAATTCGATAAATAATTTATTTAACGCGGATCCCTTTAACTGAATATTTTATTCAAAGTTAGAGAATATTTAAGCTACGCATTAAATGTTCGACACGGTGTAGTTCAATCGACTTTCAGTTTCGAGTTTTATTCATTTAAAACATAAATTTTCCGTTCGAATCGGAATTTTTCAGAAATATTGGGCAAAAAAAGATATTTCTTATATTTTTGAGCTTGTCGAGAATTCTGTTTAAATTTAAAAAATACCATTTTTTTTTATCAATTCAAACCCCCCTGATGATCAGTCGGGCATTATGCAATAATTATCGAATAAGAACTATTAAGTATAAGAATTTTTAAGTAGTAAGAAGTTGGTTGTATCGTCTACAAACCAGCAGTTTACGGTCATCAACTCAATTTAGCAGGTCTGATGGTTTAAATTATAATTTATGTAAGCTCTTTTTTTAATACGTTTTGTATAAACTGGTATCTAGAAAACGCAAACGTTTGAAATGTGTATATCTAAAAAAATGATTTGATAGTTGACCCTGTTTCTTAAAAGCAAACTTCTGGTTTTTTTTCTGTTTTTTCGCTTTATTTTGATACAATTAATTGGACCAATCATAACAGAATTGATCAGACTGTGAAGCCCGAAAATAAAAGTTCATCTTTCGTGTTTCCAGTATTTTCAGACTCAGTTCAGACTTTTTATGAGTCGATGCTTTTCTGATACTGATAGAAGGCGGTGATTTCGTCTACAAACAAGCAGTTTAGGGTCATCAGCTCAATTTCGCAGGTCTGATGGTTTGAATTATAATTTACGTTACCGTTTGTTTTAATACGTTTTGTGTAAACTGGTGTATATGTAATGGTATGGTGGTATGTAAAACGTAAACTTGTGTATATCTAAAAAATGTATTCGGTGGTTTACACTGTTTTATAAAGGCAAACTTCTGTTTTTTTTTGTGTGCAATGCTTTATTTTCAACAAATTTTTTTGACTAATCTACATTCGTTCACTAAGTCGAGGTTCACTATCATTTTTTTCTTACTTTGATATTTTGATAAAATGAAAGTTGTGTTGTATTATTTTTAGAAACAAAGGTTTTTAACTTCCTGGTGACCACAATTTTTGCTTCAGTAGGAGTAATAATAACATTCAAATTTTTCGGTATTTGCGGGATGATTGACCAAAAAAGCGTACTCTAAGTATGCATTAAAAAATCTGGAAAACTATTTGTAAAAGCAGTATTTACAATTTCTGCAAAACTATTTGTTCCAGCTTCAAAAGCCTCATGATTTGTAGCATGTCTTTTTGTAAAAGCACAATAAACTGTGTAAGATCTCCAATCAACAGTTATTGTGACAATTTGAGTTCGATGAAATAACTTACTGGCAATTATGACCGGTAATTGGTATGAAAGAACCTGGTCAATATATCAGCAATCTGAATGCAAAAGCAATGCGATTCGGATCAGCACCATGGTCTAAGTACCAGCATTGACACAAATAAACGTACCTTAGCTAGAGAGGTCAGTAGTTGACCGATCATATCCCAAAAAGCCGTTATGTAAATATCTTACAGATATGCGTGCCTGTGTCTAGGAAGCCCACGCAAATTCCCCATAAGGTCTGATACTAATGTTATATAATATTTGCTCTAGTTTCTCCCAATTTGGCGCTTTACCACATTCCGGAAAGCGTGTTCTCCCTTTTACATACGCGGAAACAACTACTGCTGAAAAATTTTACAACATATTTGGTCTTTAGTTTATGCATTTATTTAGATATTCTATTGAGTCTTGACTGTAACTCTTAACATTTTCTCTCAGGTTCCAGAGATAATTTTTCTGGGATTAGTAGGGAAGTTTCTTCAGCTGACTAGCGCCAGAGCTCACAAAATAAAACTTATTTATTTGTCGATCTGCATGAATTTCAGCTGCAAATATCCACGACAAGTAGCCCATGTCTGTGGCTTCTTCATTCATTTAATACAGATTGTTCTTCCGGTCACGCAACTCTGCAGGAACTTGCCAAGTTAAATGGCTTCAGTAAAAGTTCCATATGAAACTGGAAACTCACTCTGACATCAAACTTTGCACGGAATAACTGTGAAAGTTTAAGATATGACTTTTTCCTTTATAATAAATTGAATAGAGCACATCAGTTTTAAACCGCATTTTCTGTTTGCGCCAAAGTTTGCTGCTAAATAAACTTTGCCTTTCGCCAAGTCTAGATGTTCATGTCAATTTGGATAAACGCAACATTATAAAAGCAGACTTTATCGGGTGCTCACCTAAAGATGCCTGTATATCAAAAAGTACTGGTCCAGGACTTTTAGGCGGTTTTTTTTAATCGGTTAAGAGAAAACGCTGAAAATTGTTTTCAGTTAATTGAAATTATTTAAGATATTTGTACAATTTGATTTTTGATATAATAAGAGTATTTAATTTAGCGTCAGTTTGTTAGTGAGTAGTTTAGAATCTTAAAAAAAGCGAAGAAACCCCGGGCTCAGTGACCTTTGAAGGCACTGTATCTTTCATACGTTTTTTTAAATTTGTTTTTATGTAAAGTAATAATTTTTAAATTGCGATCCTTAGGTCAACACCCAATAGAAATCAGCAGGAATCTTTTGAGCCAAGCTTTATAACAGCAGTATTAATAAATGTTTTTGGGGAAGCACAAATAAAGTAGAATAAGTTTTTAAATAAATTTATCAGTATCAAACACTCGGGCAAAGAGGCAGGTTTTTATCTACTAATTAATTATTAATATCTTATTTACTAATTAATTGGTTAAATAAGCATTTATTCAGTTGCTAAGCTTTTGAAGTAAAGTATATTTTAGAATACAGGACACATGGCTAAATCCATGCTAAGAAATTGAGACAAAAGAAAAGTTATGCAAAAAATAGAATATATTGCACTAAAACTGATTAAAAAAATTAAATTCTACTAACCCACTATACAATAAATATACAACAAACTTCTATACAAAAAGAAGCACGCAAAAGTCAAAAATAACTGAAAGACAGTCAGAAATGAAGCAAAAGTGCAAACACAATTTACATAATTAGACTAAACTGAATCCTCGTTTCCTGGCAAGACAAACTAGACAATCCCAATTTCTTTACTACTTTTTAAGAGATAAAAATCCAAATAAACAGTTCATTTGAGCTTATTTTGTTTCTTCTAAATGTTCAGTTAACAATTCGCTAATGTAATAAGAAGGGCTGCAAGACCGATTGGTTTAAGGCAATTTTTTGGTGGAAATAAATTTTGAGATTATCGGTAACGAAATCAAGCACTATTAACGAATTCAATCATATTAATAAACACAAAGACATTAATAAAGACAAAACATACCTGTAGAGCGTAAATTCAGCTGTTTTCAGAAGTTTTTCCATGACTTGCAACATTTCATCATAAAGAAGCCAACTTATGTTTTCATAAATAAACTATCTGGAATAAATTTCTGATGAACAGTTTAGGAGATGTTCTCAGTTTTATAAATGCGCTATATTTTATTTTTAAAATTGTATTTTCTTAAAAAACAGTAAGAGATCAAATATAGTTTCGTAGTTTCGGGCAATAAAGAGAGTCGTTAATATATGGAATGAAACAAAGTTTTCTCAACTAAATAACATAGAAACGATTTATTTAATAAATTACCAAAATTATTAAGAAAACGTGAAATTCATCAAAAGTTAACAATAAAAAAGTGAAACTGGGATTTCTCTTCTAAATCTGGCGAGCCGTGGTAAATTATAATTTCGTCTTGAAGATTTTGAAGCACAAGTACTGATGGGCTTCCGAGCAAACCATCTTTGAAGATGCAAGCGAGTTGTTTTTGCGAAACGTCAGGAAGAAATTCTAATTCACGTCTCCCTAAAAACTCGACTGATTCACCAGTTGCTACAACAAGCGGAATATTTGCAGACTTTATTTAGAACCAACAATTTAAATAATTACATTTATAACTACATATTAACATTTGTAATTGCATGGAAAGTATCCCAAGGAACAAATTGCCCACCTAAACAGGCATTTATTTTTTTCTTATTGCAATCTGTAGTGCTATGAATTTTAAATTAAATTTCTTCTTTGAAATTTAATTGGCTGAATGCAACTGAATCCACCATTTGTAGCGCTTGAAGTACAAGAAGTCTATTCCCTCAAACTTACCACTACGTCACATCACACGGTTTTAAATCTTCGTGATATGTGACGCAGTAGCCAGACTGAAGAACGTTTTCATAGTCAATCGTAGTCATCAGGTTTTTCCTGAAAAATATCATGTATAAAGCATAAACTCCCAAACCGCATACTCACAACATTTATCCAGCTAAGTAATGATTAAATTATACCTTGCATTAATCTAGGATTAGTGTGTCTGCAAAATACAACAAGCCTTTATTTATTTTTCAAGCAGTTCTCGAAAAAAAATCGAGTCTATTTTTTTTCGAGAACTTTTCCAAGTTTTTATTTAACAATTTAACCAAATATTTGGAAGGTAGAACTTTACAATACAATCTTAAGAATAAAATGTTATTGACTTACCCTCTTAATGACTGGTTTTTATATTACTAATTAGTAAAGCATTGAAAACATAATCAAAACGACCCGAAAAAAATGAAAAAGGAAAACATGGACTAGGCCTAGTTTCATGCAAACTAAGAATAACAAGAAAAGCGAACTAATCGAAATTTATAAGGCAACGAATGAAAGAACAAGAGTCTAAGAGACTGAACATTCATTAAGATTGAGATAATTTGGAAGGAAAATAAAACCCGAAGTCTAAAAGTAATAAAATGGCAACGCACAAGCAGAGCATTAAAGTTGACCAGAATTGAATGAAACAGTAAAATAAACGAGTAACCAACAAGCAAAAACCAGTACGCAACCAAACGCAAATAAAGATGCTGGTAGCAGAAGTATTTTACCGAAAATAAGACAAGAAATACAAGAAGCTTCAAATGACAGAAAATCATATAGAAAAGCAGTGGCTTGAAAGTAAGAAAAAGAAATCAGTATTGTCCATTCTGAGAAAGCAATGAAAGAAACTTAAATTGGACATATTTTTGTAGTGAAACAACTGTTAACTTTAGCAAAGTTCATGCGCACAAATTAATTGAGTCACTGAAAAACCGAAAATACCTATAGAAAAGAAAATAAACAACGCAAATGAACAAGAAATGTGCGACAATGTTAGTTGGATAAAAATTACAGTAAAATAACGAGTAAAACGAACAGTGAAAAGTAATGAAAATTAGGATCCAGGAGAAAATGCTGGCGAAACGGAAATGTTTCCAAGTGCAAAGTATTATATCTAAGAGGCCACTCGTGCTCGGCTTGGAACATGAAGACGCTAATCCGGATGTCATAGAAAATTTACACCATAATTCAAAGATAAAACAAATCGTATCGCAATCCAATATGAGAAATCTTCAAAAAGGCTAGTTGTTTTTAAAATTACAATTTTCCCAGCGGATGTAAAAACACACGATTCCTTAAATGCATTTTATATGCCTACGATGTCAACTTTCCTTTTTTTGTTACATTTTAATTCACAATTATATCGGAAACAAATAAAAATCGGGCTTGAACGCCGATCGATCGCCGAATCGAGCTTAATTTGCTTATCTTCACTCCCTATACAAATTTTGATCTGCATATTTTTATAATGAATTGCTTTCGGTTATTGTCGCTGTCATTCAATTATGTTGGGTTGCATGCAATTACAAAACAATTTCCATAAAAAGTCAAATATACACAATATACAAGCGCTGGAAAACCTACAATAAAACATTCCATCAACCAGCTGAACAAGTATTTTGTTAGCATTCGTAATATTGAACATTTGAAGTCTTCCGATCGGTTCTTATGGAAAATTTCTGCAATTTATGTTTCTATATAAGTGATAATAGCAGTCGAAGATATAAAGCCGGAGATTAGTAAATTCCATTTTGAAAATGGAATTTCGCAGTTTTTGCATTTGGCACTTAAATGGCATAGAAATATGTTCACTTAACTATTTCAGTTGTTGCTTTTAATACAGAGTGGAACTGATGCGTTTGATGGTAACATTTTAGCGATCTCGTGAAGAGTCATAAAATGATAACATGGATTTAGAATATTCCTGAGGAGTAGTAAAAACGCCATATTTTACGAGTAAGTAAACATGCTAAATGCGGAATTGATAAGTGTGTCTTTAGAATTATTTGTTATTCAGGAAGAAAATTACTTGAATTGGATAATTATACCAACAGATTTGCTCAAGTGTGTTATTTCAAATGTGATTCCAGGGAAATTTAGGTCAACAGCTTGAATTTATAAGTCTTAACATGTCCATTTTATATCCTCTAAATAAAGCAAGATGTTAAGATTACAGCTAGAAAGAATAACAAACGTAAAATGAATAATAATAATAATCCAAAAGTGATAGATCTATAGAGCGGAGACAAAACTCATGGCTTAAAAACCTTCTAGAATGGTAGCGATGTATTTGGACCAGATATGAAGCTAGAAATAAAGAGTTTTAGCTTCTTCAAAAAATTTTCAATATCTAAATCGAGATTTTTAACTACTTCCAAAATTTTCAATAGCGAAATCGAGGTTTTTAGGTACTTCTAAAATTTTCCAATAGCTACATCGAGATTTTTAACTACTTCCAAAACTTTTCAATAGCGAAATCAAGGTTTTTAGCTACTTCTAAAATTTTTCAATAACCAAATCGAGATTTTTTACTACTTTTAAAATTTTTCAATAGCCAAATCAAAAATCTCTCTGGTGGCATCTAAAGAAGAAAGAAGAATCTTAACTTAGCTTTTAGATGCAAAATAAGCATTTTGGTAAGCACCAATTTTATTTTCAACCCAAATTGAATTTATTAATTAGGCAAAACTGTATTTAATCTTAGTCCAGTGAAGAGCCAAAAAATAATCGCATCCAGGTTTTCTTACAATTGCACCTGGGTGTAAAACAGTTGTAAAAATTTGCAACCGAGGACAAAGAAACTGAGACCTGGCTGATAAAAATGATAATGGATTTAACACCTATTTTGTAGGATTTTATCAAAAATAGAAAATATTAAGGTATTGTAAAAAATTGTAAAAAAACCTCGAAGTGCAAATATTACTAAAAAAACATTTCCGCTCTTGCAGATATAATTTTTATCAGTTTGACTGACTGATAATGCCAAGCACGCAAAGTAGAAATTTCAAATGGCTTTCTGATACACCATTAACCATTTAATTGAATTAATAACGCATGGTTTATCACTTTGAACCAATGAAAGAAAATATGATCGTACATTATTACTGTAAAACGTAACTGACTAAGTACCGTGCCCATCTTAAGTTTAATTTTAAATGATGGTGATTTAGCAGTATCGGTAGAAATCTGTTATATTAGCCACTGGACCTTAACAAAATTAGATAGTCGTGAACCATCCAATTTTAAAGCGGCCTAAGATTTAAATTACAATGAGTTTCAAAGAAGAATTATATGGAATTTGAGATACATAAATTTTGGTTCTGGCTAGTGAACATAACGGATTTGGTAAACGCATTCTAGACCAATGTTGCTGTTGAAGCCTAAACAATCATTTCCTTTGCAAACTAACCGAGATTTATTTTAGCAGTAAATTGTGCAGGTTGCTGTCGGTGTAACTATCAGTTTAAGATTTTTTCATCTTTGAGATTGATTGTTTAATCGAGGTGCCATCGAATGATTCTCAAAAGCGTGTGTAGTTTTCAGTTTCAATTTTAACCGGCTGAATGCAAATTAAATGCGAACAAATTTTGAGAGGAGTCAATTTTTTGAATGAAACAGAATTTATATGCGTGAGCAGTGAAAAGTTGAATTTTGTAAATTAGCTGGTAATATGGAAATAGTAGACAAATCGGGTTTTCTCAGCTTTTTCTGCGTTTCTAGTCAACCAGAACAGCCAAACTTTGAGAAGTCCCGCCACAAATGCTATCGAAACGTCCGAGTACTACATGTTTTGCATATTCGGTATTGTATTTCGATCTATAATATGGAAGATAATTTTAGTTCATCCAAACACCGATTGAGAAACCTACAGAAAAACACTCGTTTTTGATTCAAATGTCAATGCTACATTTCACAGAATAACTAGATAATTAAGTTTAAAAAAGGAAGGAAAATTTTAAAACAGACAAAAATATTATTATTTTTATATGCATTATATTGATCTTCATTTTGTTGATCAGTTGATATTGCAACAGTTTCGCTTTTAAGATTGTTCTCCAATCGTTTCCTAGACCTTTCTGTTTTGGATGTTTTTATTAACGCGATTATTTTTTAATTTTTAAGCTGTATATAATTTAAATATATATCATATTCAGTAAAAACTATAAAATTATATAATTGTATAAGACATTATAATGAATATTAAATATCGTCTTTATGTGACTTTGCGAAAAATGTGGCTAATGAACAACAAGAGTTAGAACCATGTAAAAACAGTTTAATTGTTTTGACTTTTACTTATGTTTACAGATTTATAACATGATAAGATAAATACTGAATACAATTGTCTTTTGTTATGAGAAAAAGCAGCATAACAAAACCAAACAAAAAAGTCGGAAATGATAAAACTTAAAGAGTGTTCATTCTTGCCGTGTAATCCTCAAATTAATAAGAAATTTACAAATATGTAAACTTACACACATAAAATCTTTATGGGCAAAAACTACAAACATTTAAACCAAATCGACAAATAAAATCACGACTATAGAATCTCCTTCCTACTAATCTTAAAATTAAAATAATGAATCTAAAAAATGCCTTAAGGGGTTTAAAAAACAAATCAAGCAAAATAACTTAAACAAAATACTCAGCTGTGTAATATAATGTGTAAAAGACAGAAGGAGAACAAGCGTTGCAATTAGTTATTAGGAGAAAGTGAAAAAATAAAAAAACAGCTCCAAATGAAATGGTTTAAGAGAATGTAATGTTAGAATTAAAATAAAGTTCATAATAGATAAAACCAATTTAGGTAAAAAACATTACAGATAATTTTATTTTTACTATGTTCTTATGTTAAGGTGAGGGATTACGAGAACACGCACATTTTTAAATCTGCACATCAGGGTGATACACTCCGTGTATAATATTTTCGTAAGGGAAGATATTGGGAATCGATATTTCGTTGTGAACAGTAAAACGTCTAATTTTTTTAGCAAGCTTTTGGAAGGTTTTATTTTCATTTTCAAAAGTTGCCGTTTAAGGCCAATTTAATAATTTAAATGAAAACATACAAAAGCTATAAACTTTAGAAGACGAAAAAATAACAATGAAATGATTGAACAATGAACCAATTTTTAAATAGTACACTGTATATGAATTATCAGTAGATTTTGTTACCACAGTGAAATATTCTGCAAAATTAAAGTTGAAGTATTAAAAGGTAGGTGAAACAATAATTATCCTCCATTTCACAACTTTAAAAGTCGTGGTGTTGATAAAACAGCAAAACAAAAATATGCAAATTTCATCGGATATTTTCAGAGGGCTTTTTGGGAGTTAATTGTTGCGGTTTAATGTTTCAATATTGGGTTTTCTCGTAATAAACCTTGTAAACAAGGAAAAGTTACGAAAATAATTATAAGATATGTATATATGTATTTAATTCA